AGGAGGTCAGCCCCACGTTCGAGAGCAGAAGACAAAACATCTCTGTGGCTGCTGTAACAAGGGCCACAGCAGTGGCTTCCAACAGTGTGGATGCCGTCTCCGGACCTGGAGGCCAGACCCCAAGATCCTGGTGTGGGCAGGGCTGTGCCCTCCTTCTGGAGGCGGGCCCCAGATCACGGTGTGGGCAGGCTAACTGCCCCCTCCTTCTGGAGGCAGACCCCAAGATCACGGTGTGGGCAGAGCTGTACCCCTCCTTCTGGAGAGCCAGACCCCAGATCACGGGCATGGGCAGGGCTGTGCCCCCTCCTTCTGAGGCAGACCCCAAGATCACGGTGTGGGCAGGGCTGCCCTCCTTCTGGAGGCCAGACTGAATCGCATTGGGCAGGCTGGCCCCCTCAGAGATCGCCTGCCTGCCAGCCTTCTGGGGCCAGGGCATCCTGAAGCATGGCAGTGCAGCCCCAGTCTCAGCCTCTGCCTCACGTGGCCTCTGCTGAGAGGCTTCCATGTTGCGTTTCCTCTGCACCCTCTCTTTAAGGACACTTATTTGGATTTAGAGACTCACCTAAATCCAGGATGACCTCTTCGTCCAGTGGTGCAGCTTAGGTCAGGTTCTTGACTTTTGCTTCAAAAATAGATAGGAGCAGTCAAAGCACATGAAGTAGGCAAATAAGTTTGTCACAAGCCCGAAAGTGCTCCTCAGAGGAAAACAATGGCCCTGGTGCCTTTGAGGAATCACTTTATTAGGGCTATGCTGTGTGTGTTCATGAATACAGTGAGGCTGGGTATATATAAGCAGATGGGCCTGCGGTTGGCTGTGTGTGCGTGTTCATGAATACGGTGACCTCCATAGCCTTTGAAGGCAGACCAGGCCTGGGTTGGCACCTGCGTGTGTGATTCATTAATACAGTGAGGTTGTTTATGAAAACCCAGATAGGCCTGGTTGGCTGTGTGTCTCATCATGAAATCACGGTGGTCAGGTGTGTAAAGGCAGGGCAGACCTGGTTGGCTGTACATGTGTGTTCACGAAATATGGTGAGATAGCCATGTAAGGCAGACAGGCCTGCAGTTGGTGCACATGCCCCAGTATAGTGTAACACACACTGCATATATCCCATTATATGGAATCCTCACTGGGGTGTATCTTACTATTAAAATGACAGAAAGGTCCCTGTAAAGCTAGACTTGGAGCCCTAACTGTGCGTGCAGCTTCCTGGAGATGCCCTCGCCCCTCCAAGGCAGGAGTGTGTAGCTAAGAGCTTCGTAGGCTTTGGTGCTGACTGGCTGGAGGTTAGAGAAGCATCAGGAAGAAATTGCCTTCAGGCCTTCTCTTTCCCGGGCCTACTGGCGGGGAGCTGCCCGAGGAACAGGACGTCAGTCTTGGCCTCCCACCCTACAGTCCTGCCTCAAGGTCATATAGATCCCTAGTTTAACTACACAAAGATCTGCTGCAGTAGTCACATAAGAGACAGGCCCTTCCAAGAGATTAAACCCGGGCCAGAACACGCGTTTCGAGGTAGGAGACAGAGGCCACATCCTGCTGACACTATGTCCTGGAGTCGTGGGAGGAGACACACGTTCAATTCACCCACGGAAAAACTTCCTCAGGAGGACCGGCCCAGCCATCCTTTGTTCCCAGTGCAACTCTCCCTCATCCCAGCAGCAGGCGCGCAGAGGACAAGGCTGGGAGCGAACTCAGGGTGAGAAGCGACTTGCCTTCCTCATTGATGGGCTTTTGGTTTGTTTGGAAAATCTTTTGCTCCTTTATCTTTTCCTTGGAGCTGGGTTGAGCCTTTGCAGAAGAATGCAGATTTGGAAAAGTCATCTGAGTGCTGTTGCTCACTGCATTTGCCAGCGGTGGAGTGACAGGGGGTTGATAAAAACTGCTTCAACTCCGCGGCGGAAATGACCGGCAGGATCTCCTCGCCTGACCACCAGGCGGAAGTGGCGTTGGATCTCATTGTGCAGAGAACTGAGGCTCCCAGACACTGCGGTTGTTCCACCTGTGCGACTTTGAGCTCGGGCCTGGATCAGGCGGCTGTGGCGCTGCTCCCCGTCAGGAGCATCTGCTGACGGTCCCCATCCAGGCCCCTTTACGAGGCTACCTGCAGGCGCTGAGCCTGGCATGATGCAATGGGCGGCAATCAAGGCGCCCTATGCCTCTGGCCACGCAGTGATTGGTTCCAGGAAGAGACTACGTCACCCAGTCAGGCCTGGAGACACCGCCCCGGATGCTTTTCCTGCGTGTCACCAGGAAGACGAGGCGGGTTTTGCTGCCCTGGACTCAAACCCCTGGAAGTCTGGACCTGCAAGGACACAGCCTCCTGGCCACCACTGGACAGGCCTTCCTGAGGATTAAACTCAAGCCAGAAGGCCTGGAGCCAAGAAAACAGTAGAGGCCCGTGTCCCACTGATGAGCTTGCAGCCCCGGTCAGTATTCAAACCAAATGCACCTGGACTTTTCCTCGGATGAGCCACCCAACCCCCTTTCTGTAGAGCCAGCCCGAAACTCAACCTCATTGTTATACTGAAAGCGGACAGCAGGGCATCTGGAAGGTTCTGTTTGCTCATCGCTCTACTCATTTCCACCGCTCCCCAACGCCTTCAGCGCAGTCGGGGGCCTCTGCGTGTCCTCAAACCTGCGGCCATGAGCTTGCAGGGGAAGCCTTCTGTTCCACGCAGGCAGCTTGTTTACAAGCGATGGCCGCGGATCCATCAATAAAGGCCGTCGATATCCTGCAGGCAAAAAATTACTGGGTACCGGACGCGGGTTCTAAATCAAATGAGAGGTCATTTGAGAATGAACATGTGAGTGACGGGTTATCACCCCCCACCGCCCTCGTCCACAAAGTCACAGAAAAATTTCAGGAAGCCTGGGAATGCTCCTTCATGGCAATGCGTAGCCCCTCACGCTGTGGTAGGAGGAGTGTGACCTGGCCCTCACGCTGTGGCAGGAAGGAGCTTTAAACAGGGTCTTGTGATGCGGCGCTCTCGCCATGGTAGGAAGAGTGTGACGTGGCACTCTCGGAGCCCCTGCTGTGGCAGGAAGGAGCTTTAAACAGGGTCTTGTGATGCGGCGCTCTCGCCATGGTAGGAAGAGTGTGACGTGGCACTCTCGGCGCCCCTGCTGTGGTAGGAAGGAGGTTTAAACAGGGTCTTGTGAGGCGGCGGCCATGCTGTGGTAGGAAGAGCGTCACACGGCACTTACGCTGTGGTAGGAGGAGTGTGACGCCGTGTTCAAGCTGTGGTAGGAAGGAGGTTTAAACAGGGTCTCGTCACACGGCACTCATGCTGTGGTAGGAAGGGTGTGACCTGGTGCTCACGCTGTGGTAGGAAGGAGGTTTAAATAGGGTCTTGCTGGAGCCCCTCCCTGGTGAAACCCTGGATGACTTTAACCCCCACTCCCAGCCCCCAGGGGTCTCGGGGAGCCCAGCAGCCTGGCCCCTGCCTAGTGTCCCCAGGGCTTCTCCAGAGCCCACAGGGGCCAGAGGGTGGGGTTAGAATGGGGAGAAGGAGTTTAGAAAAACCAGAGAGGGTGTGGGGGTGAGGGGAAGGGGGCCGGGGTGGACGGAGGGCCTCAGAGCTGCTGGCCGTGGTCAGGGCGCCACTGACCGGGTGGCTTATAAACAACACACGGAGTTTCTCACTGTTCTTGAGGCCAGAAGTCCAAGGTCAGGGTGCCGGTGGGGTGGGGCCTGGCACAGGGTCTCTGTCAGGGTGTCGGCACCTGTCCCCTTGTATCCTCCTGGGGTGAAATGGGCGAGGCAGCTCGGGACTCCCTTGAATATGGCACAAATCCCATTTCCCGTTCACGAGGCCCCACCCCATAACCTCGTCACTCCCAAAGGTCCCGCCTCCTGAGTGTCACTGGTTAGAGGGTCACGGCTTCAACATGCGACCGTGGGAGGGACACAGATGTGCAGACCACAGAGCTAGGGCCTCTAAGGACCGCCTTGGCCGGGACGCTCAGGAAGCCTGGGTGTGAGTGAGGCCTCGGCTGGGACGTGCGGGGAATCCAGGTGTGAGTGAGGCCTCGTGTGAGGGGCTCCCCCGAGTGCATATCCCAGGCCCTGAGTTCAGCAGAACCCGAAGCTCCTCCCTAGGCCCTGCCATTGTGTGAACCAAAGCACGTCTGCCTCTCCCCAGGCTGACCTGGATTTCTGTGGCTGCCACTGTTGGATGCTGACTGAGAGGCAGGGCCTCAGCTTCAGAAGAGAGAGGCTCAGAGCCGTGCTCGGGGCAGGGGCTCCCCAGCCCCTGGAGAAGTGTCTCCCCAGCCGGAGTCCCGGCTGCAGCTCAGGCGCCAGGCTGCAGTCACACCTGCTCAGCGACTCCCTCGCCAGGCTGCGCTCATGCCTGGGCAGCAACTCCCTCGTGGCTGACGTCCTGGGACTCAGCACACTTTGTCTAGAAAGGGCCAGATGTCGACATTTGAGGCTTCTGGGCCCCACAGTCTCCGTGGGGATAGCTGTTGAGGGATAGTTATCAGTTTCCCCAACCCTGTTGTTGTGGCAGGAGGGTGGCCACGGTCAATCCCATGTGAGCAGGCATGGCTGGGAGCTGGGACCCTGCATCCATGGCAACAGATGGTGGCAGGACTTGGCCCCTGGGCTGCCGTGCGCTGGCTCCCGTTCTACGGTGTGCATTTCTCCAGAATCTCACTTCTTCACAGAGCCCATTGTGGCAGATGGTATTTTCCAAGGATGGATGGAAACACACCTTCCAGAACCTCGTTTCTCCCCTTGAAACCCGTGGGATTCTGCACCCATCAAGACAGGACATCCAGGGTGATGCTACGTGCCTTCAGGGCGGCTGTGGGAAGATGAGTTGCTTCTAGCCCAGTGGTGGTAGCAGAGCTGGGGCTGCAGGGGAGTCCCCAGCAGTCCTGGAGCCGCTGGGCTGTGAGGCAGCCCACACGCTTCACACGGGGAGTCGACGTGGACGGACCCTGGGGCAGCACGAAGAGAGGCGTCCGGCCAGTGCCAGCGCTCCACCTGCAACCCAGAACCCCCCAGCAGGTCTGCCTCAGTGCCAACCCTGGCAACGGTGGCAGAAAGTCACACAACAGTCTGGTCGCTGCACGAAGCCACACGCTGGAGGCTGGCTATGCAACAAGGACAGGGATATGGGCGAGGAATGGCTCAGACTGGACGTGGCATCACGGTGACACGCGGGCATGTGATGTTAGCAGGTGTCTGTGGGAGTCTTCCATCCCCTGCAAGCAGCCACGGAAGCTGCATCTTGTCCCACGTGGGTGGGTGCGCCTGGCTGTTGCAGGCCTCAGCAAGAGTCCATGGATGATTAAAGAAGTAAACAAAAGCAAGCTCAGCCGGGCCCACTCAAAACTCAGACTTGGATTTCCTGCATGGCTTTAACCCCTCAGACGCCAACTATCTCGGCAGAAACTGCACTGCTGATTGGTTTGGTTTGATGGGTCTAGTCGTCGGAAACACACATAGAACGTAGGAGTGTGTGCATGCCTGTATGTGTGCATGTGTGTCTGCGTGTACATGTGTGCATGTATCCGTGTGTGTGCCCACAGATGTGTGTGTGCACGTGTGTTGTGTGTACGTGTGTGTGTCCGCAGATGTGTGTGCATGCGTGCGTATGTGGACATGTGTGCACGTGTGTGCATGTGTGTGCATGTGTGTGTGGACATGTGTGCATGTGTGTGATATGTGTGCATGTGTGTGATGTGTGCATGTGTGCGTGTGTGTGTGCATGTGTGTGTGTTCTGGCTCCAACAGGTGATTCCATCCACTTTCAAACCAACTCCTCACCACTTTCTCCATGAGCTGCGTTACTGATTTCCTTTTGTCGGGCAGTAGATGCTTTTCTAATTAGGCAGTGGCTTTAATTATGCCGCAAAGCACGTAACATAGGTCCTGAGTATTAAGACTGGCCCATGGGATAATGAAAGGAAAACTGGCAAATCCAAATTAAGCAGAATCATAAAAATGAACGACCTTATCCAAGAAGCCGTCCTACATCCCAGCACAGTAACATGCCCCTGCTCTGTGTTTGTGGGGTCTTCAAGCATATTAATCGTGGAAGCCTGAGCAGCCTGGCCGTCAGCTCTAATCGGTGCATATTTAGTGGATGGCACTTTGAGGAGCTGAGAGCAGGTACCTCAGCCTAGTCCAGCTTCCTGACGAAGGTGCTCTGTCTAAAGCCTCCTGCGTGTCGGGTCTGTGATGAGAAGTGGGGAACGTGGACATTGAGGATGGGAGAAGCCAGGCACCACTGTGGAGACGTGTGGGGAGCCGTGTGGCTTTTCCGCAGGGGCAGCTACCAGGTTTTGCTCCTCATCAAGGGGTGGGAGCTGCAGCCGGTTCCCCAACTGACATCTTCCCGTTTCACGCATGCCTGGCTCCGTCCAGGCCTGGGGTCTGTGCCCTGGGAAGGAAATGTCTCAGGGGCAGGGGGATCCTCGGGCGAGCTCAAGGGGGACACACTCGCACTGGGTGGTCTTTGCCTTTGAAGCAGCTTTGCAGGCCTCTCTGGGCACAACTTCAAGCCAGTCTTGTCCTTGGTTCATGGAAGTCAAACCAGAAAGCTGAGGTTCCCGCCCTGTGGCTTCCTGCTGCAGTGTGGATTCAGTGGGACCCGTGGCTCCCTGCTGCAGTGTGGATTCAGTGGGACCCGTGGCTTCCTGCTGCAGTGTGGATTCAGTGGGACCCGTGGCTTCCTGCTGCAGTGTGGATTCACTGGGATCCGTGGCTTCCTGCTGCAGTATGATTCACTGGGACCTGTGGGGCAGAGCCCGCTCGATGCCAGGCAGCCCTGGACTCTTGAAGCAGGAAGAGCCTTCTCAGGCCTGGGATCCAGCTCCCCCTTCTCCCACACACACACCTGGGCACACGCACATGCACACACAGCATCTCACCCACAGACGGACCTCAGATGGACACTGGCAGCCCAGCCAAGGCGCTCGTATCACTCACGGCTCCTGTTCACAAGGCAAAGGGCACGCGCCGATCATAGGCGAGTGCTTCCACACAGACCTGAATACTGTGGGTTTCATTTGCACGAAATCCACCTGGGCTGGAGCAGGACTCCTTCAACAGCAAGTGACAGAAAATCCATCTCAAATTGGCTCAAGCTAGACAGAGAGGCAGTGGGGAGAGAGACGGAGGAAGGGAGGGAAGTGTCCCTGCAATGACGAGGCTTGAGGAAGTCCTGGCATTGGCCAGTAGGATTCATTGCTCAGGCAATGTCATCGGGCCAGCGTCTTGCCAGCTCTCCACGCTCCTCTTGGCCTTGCGGGCTTAGCCTGAGCCTCCACTGTCTGCAAGAGGCTGCAACCGCTCCAGCCTCACGTCCTGTCTCCCAGAGCCCAGCCACCCTCTCCTGGCTCTGACTGGGCCATGCGTCGCTCCCCGAGCCTATTGCTATGCTGATTGGCTCAGACCCGGTTCTGTGTCCTCCCCCTCATCGGGCTGGAACTCCACCCCGCTACTTGGGGAGTTCCTGCCAGGGTGAGTCCCACGTTTTACGGGGAGGAGGAGGAAAGGAGCCGAGCAGGGCAACAGCAGAAGTCCATGGCCTGGCGAGGACAGCCTAGACGTGGGGGAAAGAAGGGACAGGGAGGGGCTGAACCTTTTCACATCATGCCCTGCACGCCAGGCTGGATAGGGAGAGGCTGAGCGTGCAGTCTGGGGTTAAGGCTGGGAAGCCCCGATAGATGGCTTAGAAGTGAGTTGGTGACAACTGGACAGTTTCCAGGTGGGGCAAGCACCCGAGCGATAGGAACAGCCCCTGCTGCCAGGAGCCCATGGGGGAGGGTGCGTGTGTGTGCAGTGTATCCTATGTGCACATGTGTGTCTGTGGTGTGTTCACAGATGTGTCTGCACATGTGTGTGGGTGTGGAGGGTATGTTCTTGCGTGTGGCATATGTTCACGTGTGCATGTGCGTGTGGAGCTGTACCTTCTAATTCAGCCCAAGCCACAACTTAGACTTTTAATGTTATGTTCAAATAAAACCATTTGGAGACTCACTGACAGCTTTGAGGCTTTGGACACCGCCCGCTCATCACCTGCCTTCCCCTCTGCCGTGAGTGATGAACTGTGAGCCCCGTGTGCGTCTACAGTTCTGGGTGCCTGGATGAGGTGGTGAAACAGCAAACCCGCATGCAGAACCCCTGCTCCAGGAGCCCTGGCTGGCAGGAGAGCAGGGCAGGGGTGCAAAGAGCAAGCCGGGGGTGGGGGCGGGAGAGGCAGAGCAGCACGCTGGAGGCCGGGGCCCTGGTGTGATTTTACGTTGAGCACGGGGTGAGCCTCTTGAAGGGTGAAGGCACTTGTGGCCATCCAGGCACCCAGGTGGGGGTGGGGAGCGCAAAGGCCCTGGGGCAGGAGCAGGCCTAGAGCACGGGCCACAGAGCCAGGGGCTGGGCCACAGGGGAGTGAGCCAAAGGAAACTGAGAGGGGATGGTGGAAGGAGCAGCCTGGCTGAGCAACCCGGGCCTTTGACCTTCTCAGGGGTGATGGGAAGCCTGGAATTGCATGGGTCGGTGTGGAGGTCACCGTGACCTTGCCAGGCCTGGGGTTGCAGCCGCAGTGCCCAGGGAGGTGAGAAGGGGCTGGCCAGGCTGCCTGTTGTGAAGAGTGGAGAAGCGTGCGAGGGACGTGGAGCAGGCGTCTGGCTTTTCTCTGGCCTGCAATGGGCTGGTGGGAGCGGGAACGGGCTGGCCTCACTGTGAATGTGAAAATGCTGGTTGGAGCCCTCCATGGTGGGTCTTCCTTCAACAGCTAAATGCGCCGAAGGCCTCAGAGCTTGACAGGGTTGAATTTCCTGGGAAGGGCGCCCTGTGCTCCCTGGATGGGGCGACGGCCGACATTCCTGGCCCGTCCCCAGCCGCATCGCCTCTGCCCAGCCCTCAATCACTGCGGCTCTCAAGCGGCTCCGGATGCCATGATCTCGTTCAACTCTGATGCTTTTCAAACACCATAAATTTAGTTTATTTTCTGTCTGACAGAAATGGCGCCACTTAAATCCTACAAAGAACCCTCGGGTTCAGCTCAGGCTGAGTTATTTGGGGGCCACTGCTGGGCGGTTCGCATTTGTTTCCTCTGTGACATCGGAATGGGGAGGACACTGCCTCCAGCACCGGGCCGGGGCCAGGGCTGCTCACACAGAGCTGCTGAAGCCTACGGGGGCCCAGCTGTGGGTCCTGGGCTGCCCGCCCCCAGGAAGAGCACTTTGCCACCACTGAAGTGGGGCGAGCTGGTTCAGGCACAGCTGGAAACCAGAAGGAGGCAGCCAGCAGCAGCTGCGCCAAACAAGAACAGGAGCCCCAGGCCTAGGCGGGTGGATCATGCGAGACCAGCCTGGCCAAAAAGGTGAAACCCTGTCTCTACTGAAAACACAAAAATTAGCCAGGTGTGGTGACACGCGCCTGTAATCCCAGCTACTTGGGAGGGTGAGGCAAGAGAATCGCTTGAACCCGGGAGGTGGAGGTTGCAGTGAGCTGAGATTGCGCCACTGCACTCCAGCCTGGGCGACAGAGTAAGACTCTGCCTCAAAAATAAAGAAGAAAGAAAGAACGAGAGTCCAGAAGCCACTGCTGCCCCCACCAGCAGAGTGGAACTGTGATTTCATAGAACAGACACAGCCTGGCAGCGAGAATGACCACAGAGCTCACAGCCGCTCGGGTGGAATCTCAGGAACTCAAACATCAGGAGAAGGAGTGGGGCTCCGAGGCCTGTGTGCGGGAGACAACGGCCATGGCATCGAGTTCAAAGGCATGCCGGGCGCGGCTGGGGATGGGAAGGTGTGGGGCAGAGCCATGGGGAAGGCCCAGCCCAGGCGCACACGAGGCCCAGAGACGGCAGCCTGCGAAGCAGAGGGGGGTGGACGCCGGGGTGATCACCCACTTTTCCTAAACTGGGCGTCGGGCACAGGCTTTGTATTGCTTCATTCATCGTTACATTTAATGTATGGTTGATAAATATCCCTTTAAAAATTAAAGACAATTTGTCCATTGAGAAGGGTACTGTATTATGGGTAAAACAAATTATTTTATGCTAACTAGTGCTGGGTGAAAAATGAGGCGTATGTATTGCATTATTTCCAATTTAAACAGCAATTTGTCTACAAAGGGTTGTGATGAGTGCCAGGTTGTTAGGTGCACATTAATGGCACGAAGTGAGATAGAGCATTCTCCTGCGGAAAACACAGAAAAGTCCAGAAGGAATGTGCGACAACCTGCCCTGGCACTCCCACCGCTGCCGGGTGTCGCGGGAAGCTGGGAACTAATTTAGCGCCCGGCAGTGGGACCGTGGTACTGCGGTATTTTCTTCTGCACAAGTTTGCTGTGGGGCATCGTGGCGGGCATGTGTGGAGCCACCGTCAGAACACCAAGGAGCACCTGCCCAGACCCCACCCTGCCCCGCGCCATTGCCCACTCTGTCCCGTTGAGGGGGCGCTTCCCTGGGTCCTCGTGAGACCTGGGCCGGTCCCACGGAGGGGTCCCCGCCATGCGTCCGTCCCCACGGTGCATCCCCGACGGCTCTGGGGCTGCTCTGAGCTGGGGAGCCTGGCGGGGCGTGACGGCGTTCTCCTCTCTCCTGTCTCCTCCTCCCCCCGCCCTCGAGCCCTGGCAGTGGCGGGTGACTGGAGTTTCGACGGCTGGCAAACGTGTCCCCAGGGCTCAGAGACAAACACGAGCTGCTCGCGTGTGACAAACACGAGCTGTTCACGTGTGACTGCCCTGCTGAGAACGTGTGGCCCCATGTGGCCGCTGCTGCCACAGTAATACACAGCACTGAAGGGTGCACGGGGGACGGGCACAGAGTGAGGGGTGCAGAATGACGGGCGCAGAGTGACAGGTGCAGTGACGGGCGCAGAGTGACGGGAGCAGAGTGACGGGCAGAGTGATGGGCACAGAGTGACGGGAGCAGAGTGACGGGCACAGAGTGACGGGAGCAGAGTGGCCGAGGCAGAGTGGCGGGCACAGTGGCGGGGAGCAGTGGCCGGGCACAGGTGGCTGAGAGGAGCAGAGTGACGGAGCAGAGTGACGGAAGGCACAGAGTGACGGGCAGAGTGACGGGAGCAGAGTGACGGGCAGAGTGACGGGCACAGAGTGACGGGAGCAGAGTGACGGGCACAGAGTGACGGGCACAGAGTGACGGGCACAGTGACGGGCACAGAGTGACGGGCGCAGAGTGACGGGCGCAGAGTGACGGGCGCAGAGCGAGGGGCACAGAGTGAAGGGCACAGTGTCTTTTGTGGGGAAGCAGCGGACGGCAGCGGCTGAGGCACCTGCTGTCCCCTCTGCTTGATTTTTAAGGACTGTGCTGCTGTTGTCTCGTTCTCTCTGCCTCTGTCTCCTCCCTCCCTCCTTCCTCCCCCCTGTCTCTCTGCTTCGTCTCCTCCTTCCTCTCTCTGAGCCTCTGCCTCCCTGTCTCCGCCTCCACTCCCCTTCCTCCCTCTGTTGCGATGACTGACCATCATCTCCCTCTTACTTTTCTCCCACTCTTCCTCCCTGATAGAATTCTGAAATGTATCTGGGCTCCAGCCAGAGTGAAGACCACATTTCCTGGCATCCCTTGCAGGGTGCTGTGGCCATGGCTGTGGCTGTGTGGCCGGGCTCTGGCCGGGAGATGATGGCCAACAGCTCCACCTGGTACCTCAGACACATCCGATCCATTTCTTCTTAAAGAAAGAATTGAAGTCAATTAAAGTCAAATTGGGTTCCTATTGATTACAGTCGTAAAATCCGAACCATTATGTACCCAAGAGCTAGCGTATGAAGCCAGCTGTTCCCAGGGGCTCCTGTCCCTGGGGTTTATCTCCAGGTGGCACCTGGCAGGGCACAGAGGTGGCATCACCTGCCGGATACTCCAGGCTCCAGCTCTCCGGTTTGCCCCCAGGCAGGGCTCCGTGAAGCCTGCGGGATTCCGTGCCTGCCTTTGCCTTCTGGAGGAGGTTCCTGGTGATCATATTTCAGGGAGACATGGGGTTTGATTCTCAGCCCCCCTCCCCTCTATGACAACTTAGCTTCTGTTTCTCACACCCAGGATCAGAGGTGCTCACTATGTGCCAAGCTCAGTGTTAATCGATCCCATATTTTACAATTGTCTTGGCCACAGTCAATAGCCTGTGACCCTATCCTGTAATAGACGTGACCCTATTTCCTTTCTCGTCCCTAAATGGGACTTGTTCTTGTTGGACTAACTGAATGAGAGCAGTCTCAGGAACAGTTTTCTTTGAAGAGTTTTTTCCAGAGCGTGGCTCCTGAGACAGAGCTGGAGACCGAAGTCATCTGGGGTGCCCTCGGTGAGAGGGTCTGTCTGTGCAGTTCAGGCCTCAGAGCTGTTTATAAAGCAGGCTGGGCCTAAGTCATCCGGGGAACTGGCCGATCCAGTGCGCCTGTCTCCCTCGCCTGTGTGTTCTGCAGGCAAAGTCCAGGCCTGCGTAGCTGGTTAGACACGGGAAAGTGAGTGGTCAGGCCAGGATCCCAGCAGGCACCCTGTGCCACCCCACAGGGCTCCGGCCCTGTGCGTCTGACACCTGCCCCAGGTGTGCATTCCCAGCGGTGTCTGTTTCCTGATTCCGCCCTTGGCCCCGAATTCGTGGAGCCGAACTCCTGCTTTCTTCCCAGTCACTTCTGGTATTTGAACTGAAACCATGTCTGACCACAGGCCCGGCTTCCTACGCCCCACCCTCCTGCTCTGAGCGGCACCTGCCCCGGGCGAAGGCCACCCCGCCCTGGGCTCTAGGACCCGGCACAGGCTCCTCCCCGACTCCCCTCCGCCGTCTCCCACTTTTTCCAGCAGCACAGACGCAAATGGGACGCGGTGGCTCCCGCCCAGAGGACGTCACTGACCTCCTGCCCCTTCCTCTGCTCTGCCTGGCGGTCCCGCTCCTCGGAAAAGCTCGCAGCCACTGGTTCCGCTTTCTCTTTTCCCACGGGGGGGATGGGACCTGCCACTTGTGGAAATCACACTCGTTGAGGCCGCCCATCACCATGCCCAGTGCAAATTCTCGGCCAGCATCTTCCTCGGCCGCCGTTGGGCAGGTGACGCTGCCTCGCGACACCTCCCCCGACTCTGTGCTGAAGCCGCCCTGGGTCCTCCCTGGCCGCACCACGGCCTCTGTGCCTTTGCAGAGCTCTGAGGTTGGGGTTCCAGGGCTCAGGCCTTGGCCTCCTCCCTCTGTCTGTGCCTTTCAGTCCTGTCTAATGGAGGCAAACAGTCCCAGACATCTAGCTCTAGCCCTAGCTTGAACTCCAGGCTCAAATATCCACGTGTTTTATGTTTCAACAAACGGCCAGATTGTTTTCCAAGGGTCTGTGCCACCTCCCATCCCCACCCGCCGCACGTGGGCGTTCTGGCCCCTCTGTGACCCTCACCGACGCCGCTTTTGTACGTCGGGGGCACGTCAGCCCTTCCGGTAACCAGACAGCGGCCCCCGTGTGGCTCCAAGTGTCAGTCAGCTCCCTGGCGGCCGCCTGGGGGGCACCTGCGCACTACCTGTGTATCTTCAGTGCTGACAGGTCTGTTCTGATCTTTCCCCAGTTTTCACTGGACATTTTGTTTTCTTTTGTGTTTTGAGAGTTCTGTGTTACTTCTGGATACAAGTTCTTTATCAGACACGTGCTTTGAAAATATTTTCTCCCAGTCTGCTGTGGCATGTCTTTCTATTCTCTTAAGAGTGTCTTTCAAAGAACAGACTTTTTGTATTTTGATAAAGTCCAATTTATCCATTTTGTTTTGTTTTGGATCGTGCTTTTGTTGCCATATTGAAGAAATCTCTGCCTAAGCCAAGGGCGCGAAGACTTTCTCCTCTAGTCCCTTCCAGGGACTTCATGGTTTTAGGTTTTACGTTCAGGTCAATGATCCACTCTGGGTTAATTTTTGTATGTGGTGGAAGATACGGATCAAAATTCATTTATCCAGAATGAGAAGTGTTTGTTGCTTGCCAAGGTGTGTGTGAGTGAGAGCATATGTTTGTGTTTCAGTTTGTGTGTGTGTGTGTAGGTGTGGGTATGAGTGCGTGTGAATATGTGTATGGGTGTGAGTGCGTGTGTGCGCGTACATGTATGAGTGTGAGTGCGTGTGTGCGCGTACATGTATGGGTGTGAGTGCGTGTGTGCGCGTACATGTAGGGGTGTGAGTGCGTGTGTGCGTGTACATGTAGGGGGGTGAGTGCGTGTGTGCGCGTACATGTATGGGTGTGAGTGCGTGTGTGTGTACATGTATGGGTGTGAGTGCGTGTGTGTGTACATGTATGGGTTTGAGAGTGTGCTTGTGTGTGAGATTGCATGTGTGTGAGCGTGAGTTCATGTGTGGTTTTGTGTGCACGTGTGAGTGCATGTGTGAGTGTGTGGGGGGTTTGTGTGCATGTGTGTGACTGTGTGTGTGTCTGTG